TCATGTTTATGAAAGTGTCATGACAGTCTTATTCACCCCCCTTCAAATAAAGTGTTACCGTATATTTTCTTACAGTTGCCTTTCTTCTTATGTATTTGAACTGAATTTACCTCAGACTGAAACCTTTTTGTTTTTCCTTCTGTCCTCAGGAGCAGAGATGACTCCTCTGAGTCGGTGGCGGGGCCCCGGTTTACGCTTCATGACAACGGTTCGCTGGAGATCCACTCGGCAGAGAAAGGTGATGCGGGACAGTACACCTGTTTGGCTAAAAACACGGAGGGATCATCCGCCATCGACGCCATGCTCTACATAAAAGGTAAACACTCATTCCTTTGCTAGCATGTGGAAGGAGCAACCCACGGTGTGTGAGCTCTGCAGCTAACTCATCCTTTCTGTGGAAGATCCCACCAGAATAGTGGTGGCCCCAAAGGACCTGCGGATCTTAAAAGGCAGCGCAGCCCAGCTCTCCTGCCTGGCAGAGTACGACAAGTCCTTCAGCAATGACTTTGAGCTCCTGTGGGAGAAAGATAACATACAGATAGCGCTCAACTACACAGTTAATCCCAGGTAAGACACAGAATTTTGTTTATGGCCGACTCAGTTTTCCTTCTCCCTCACACTGCTTGACAAAAGAATATTCCAGCCTTGTGAATGTTTTTCACATTTCATACACAAACTTTAATGTATTTCATGGGAAGTTTTTTTGGGGACTAACACAAAGTTCAAGAAAACGAAAGACAACAATACATATAAAAATCTGAAAAGTGTGGCATGAATGTTTATTTACATGATTCACTCACTTTTTAATCTTTCTGTTTATGGACTCTTTTCTTTCTCTTGTCTGGATTTGATTGATTCTGTTTGTTCTGTTACTACTTCTTATACTAAAGCATGACAACTTGAAATTGTTTATTTGTAATGAACACATATCAGTCTTCACCTCTTCAATTTATGCAACACATGAATTAGTTTTATTTGACTTTGTTTTGAATTGATTTGATTTGCAGTTAGAATGTTGATTATTATGTGTGTGATTGAGTGTTTTGGACTGAATAATCTATTTGGTCCAAATACACATTTTAAAGGTAAAATGTGTATTTTTCCCTCCTTAATGTTTCTAAACTGTGTATAACCACATTTTGCCTTCTGTTTACCTCCATTCATCTTACCTTCAGAACTACCACATTCCCTCAGCATGATGCTGCCACCAACATCTTTCACAATTTTTAAAGTGTTCAGAGTAATGAGCAGTGGACTTTTCTACCACACACTGTAAAAGGACAAAATCTTACCAAGTTTTTTTGGTCTGGTTTTCAGTGCAAACAAAATTAACTTGCAAGTAACTTTTCAGCAAGATATAAGAGTTTAAGTCAATAATTTCTTAATATTAATAAAATAAAAAACAGTACTAGTTTTACTGGCAGATTATTTCACTTTTAACAAGATATTCTCTCATGTTATAAGNGAAATAATCTGTCAGTGGAACAAGTACTTTTCATCAGTACTAAGGAGTTGTTGGCTTAAAACAAGCTGTATCTTGCTGGAAAGTTGTTTGCACTAGAAACTAGAAGAAAAAAAAACACTTGGTAAACATTTTCAGTGTAGCATTCTATTTGTAGGCCAAAAAGTTCAGTTTTGGTCTGTTTTCATAATTGAGACTTCTTAAGGCTTTTTTACCAGTGGCTCTTTACTTGCCACTCAGTACTTTCTGTACTGAGTAGTAATAGACATTTCAGTCATGAATTTAATCATGTGATTTACTGGTTGCTCTGGATTTTAGTTTAGGGTTCAGAGTTCAGAGGGTGAATAAATAAGCATGACTCACTTTTCAGATTTTTAGTGATAAAATAATTAAACATCCATCATATTTTGTTCCTATTCACAATAAAATCATTTGAAGGTGGAAAAGTTGAAAGGATTTGAATACTGGTTCATTGTTGATTTTGTGTCTGGATCTCTCTGTGAACAGATACATCATGGAGGACGGCTATCTTAACATCAGTGGCGTTAGCCATGGAGATCAGGGTGTGTACAGTTGTGTGGCGAAGACTCCGCTGGACAGAGACACAGCTTCAGCCTTCCTCATGGTGTTAGGTGAGCACATGCCACAGCATCAGCAAACCCCACAGCTCTGTATCATTGTATGTGAAGAGATCAGAATGTCAGAAAACACAGAGCACCACCGTGTCTGACAAGACGTGGCTGACGCCTCTCGACCAAAAACACACAGCACCGGCAATTCAGCTCGTTCCACATCCTCTGACTCTTGGGACAACTTGATTGAACATTTGCTGCTTTGGTTTTTCCTTACTAGTAAAGGTTGATGCCCCTGTGTGTGATTTTGTTTTGTTCTGTTGGGTTGATTTCCAGATGTCCCTGTCGCTCCAGAGAACTTGGTTTTATCTGAGTACAAGAGTAAAAGTGTAAAGCTGGAGTGGATCCCTGGGGACGACCACAACAGCTCCCCTACTGGTGCGTAGGTGTAAATGCACATTAAAGAAGCAAGGCATGAACGGCATTAGGACCTTTTTTTTTTTGCTCATCGTGCTGCATACATAATAAAAGTGTTGGATCTCAAATCCATTATTGATTAATGCAAACATGAATTGTGGTTTGTGCCCCAGAGAAAGAGAGAAGCCAGGAGTGCTCCGCTCAGAGCGGGTCAGATAAGTGATCTTTTATAAACGGACACTTTGATTATATTTCTGTTTCTTACCAGAGTTCATCATCGAGTTTGAGGAAAACAAGTGGGAGCCAGGAAACTGGAAGGTGCTTCTCCGAGTCCCTGGGAACCACAACTCTGCCGTTCTCAGGCTCCACGGTCACGTTGAGTATCGCTTCCGTGTTTACGCCATCAGCGCCATCGGAGCAGGGCCACCCAGCGAACCCACAGAGAGATACAAGACCCCCCCGTCAGGTGGGACTTGCCCTCCTCTGTTATTCCATAATGTGATACGTTCCCCGACAACTCCAGCTCAGGAAACTTTAAGCATCCTTAAAAAGTCTTAATTTAATTTGGCTAGAATTATAGTCTTAAAATGTCTTCAATTAGTAAAAATCAGGGTCCATATACTTTCCCACAGTAAAAATCGAGCATGTTAAAGGAAAGTTTTCAAACTTTGCTGCACTAACTTTGGAGATAAAAACAATTCAAATGAACTGCAGAAGACAGTTTCAAATGAGATGGTTGAAGCTTACCGCTAACTAGTAGCTAATGTACCTTTGCTAGCTAGTTGGAAAGACATTTTGCTTCTTTCATGGGCACAAACCTGGGTTCACAGTGTTTGCTGTGCTTTCTTTTTATGCAGTGAAGTTCTCCTAACCATCCCCTATATTTATAGTTTTTTCTGTCTTAAATTTAATTTAAGGTGGCATTTAAGGGTCGGGGCTGCACAGTGGCGCAGTTGTTGCCTTGCAGCAATAAGGTTCTGGGTTCGATTCCCAGTCCCGGTCTTTCTGCATGGAGTTTGCATGTTCTCCCTGTGCATGCGTGGGTTTTCTCCGGGTACTCCGGTTTCCTCCCACAGTCCAAAAACATGACTGTCAGGTTAATTGGTCTGTCTAAATTCTCCCTAGGTGTGAGTGTGTGTGTGTGTATGGTTGTTTGTCCTGTGTGTCTCTGTGTTGCCCTGTGACAGACTGGCGACCTGTCCAGGGTGACCTCGCCTCTCGCCCAGAACATTAGCTGGAGATAGGCACCAGCAACCCTCCCGACCCCACTGAGGGACAAGGGTGTAAGAAAATGGATGGTTAAAGGATTTAAAGGGTGTTAAAACATCTGAAATGTGACTTGTTGAAACCTGCAGATGCCCTGTTAAAAAGAGCCACTCTTTCACTACTGACGTCTCCCACTAACAATGCTGACAAAAATCCATATCCTTTCTTTTTTACAGCCCCTGACAAGAACCCAGAAAATATCAAAATCGAAGGTCATTTGCCACATGAAATGAATATCAACTGGGAGGTAAGAAGCAGAGCCAGGTCTTTTATTACCCTGTTACTTCCATATTCTGCGATTCGTCCTACCTTTCCCCCTACCCCTACGCCTCCTTCTGCTTCAGTTCATAGAATTCCTCTCAGCGATCACAGATGAAGTTTTATCAATGTTTCATTTGCCAGCAGCAATAATTTAAGAAGCAGAAATGGTCCATTTTTGATATTTCCACGTTCCGCAAAGATCTGAAGAAAAACCTTCTTATCTGGGATCACTGTGAATATGTTTCTATTGAGCGCGGCTCCTTTTCTTTGATTAGAAAGCAAAAGGGAAGGCTGTGAAAAGAAAACCTTTTAACATTGGCAGTCATCCATTTGGCTTTTATTGTAGAAAGATGAATCTCTCCTTCACTTATTATCTGCTTGCCCTGCCTCGGTAATGTAGACCCTCACTTGTGGATTTCAACTCTTCCACTGTTAATGATTTGCTTTTGTGGATAATGGCATCTTATTCTATTTCTCACACTTTTGAGTCCCGTGAGGAGATGAATCTTTTCATCTGTGGTGTCTGTATTAAACAAAACAGACCACGTCAGTGGCTCCATTGTTTTATTACACATTGTGATGAAATTCTCCCACAGAGCCATGTGCAGCTCACCACACACTCTGGGATTTGACACCAACCGGTGACAAAACTTCAATAAAACTTTTCTATTCTTCCTGTCTCCGCCGTCCAGCCACTGCTGCCCATCGAGCACAACGGACCCGGCCTGGAGTACAAGGTGAGCTACAGGCGGCAGGACGGGCAGGAGGAGTGGACGGAGCACACCGTGAAGAGGCACTCGTTTGTGGTACAGAACACTCCCACCTTCGTTCCCTATGAGGTGAAGATCCAGGCCAGGAACAACCAGGGCTGGGGGCCTGAGCCCAGAATTGTGAGCGGATACTCAGGAGAGGACTGTGAGTTTGATGGAAGCTACTGTCGTTCATGAGTCAGTCTTAGGTGACTTCATGGTGCAGGAAGGAGCTAGTTAATGAGGATGATTTCAGAGATTTCTTCTCTTTCCTTTTTAAAGGGACAATATTATGTAAAATCCACTTTTTTAGATTTATATCATATTATGTCATTCTCTCATCAAAAAGAAGCACTGTTGTGATGATCAGGAAGTGTTGTAAAGAGCAGGAGCTTCTTAAAAAGACAGAGACCAATTTCAAGGCAATATGATAAAAAGTCAAACTTTTTTTAAGTCACTTGTGGTTACTTGGTTGTGCTATAAAGTGGCTTTAAAAAAGATGAGGGAAAAAATATACAAAAAAACCTAATTTATCATTTATTCAACAGGAAAATAACATTCATGCTAAAAATAATTAGAGATTAGAATTTAACATTAAATAACCTAGAACAAAATGAAGAAAATCATCCTCACCACCATCACCATGTTTCACTGTTGAGATATGATAAATAAATAAATGAAGAGATACCAGAGCAGAGTCATCTAAAGCTAAACTCTGCTCAAAGATCAATGACATTATGATGAATATGCTGCTTAGACTATCTGCTCATGTATCACTCACTGTTTGAAATCTCATTTCACACATTATTTCCATTAACAAGACACAAAATTAAAAAAAATAAAAAATTTCGACACTTAGCTGATAAATGGTTGCTTTCATAAAAAAATAAAATGATGTGAGAATTGAGTTTGTACAGTTTGGACTAGAGAGGAAAATGGAGAAAAAAAACGTAATTAAGTCTCAAGCTAGTTGCTTTAAGCTGAATGTCTTACTCCTCTTTTTTAAAAGTAAAATCAGCTATTTTAGATGAACTTCATAGATCTAGACATGAAACATAAAAAATCCAGCCCATCTTATTTATTACTTCCATTTTTGCAGTGTAAGCGTTGGAGTGTATGTTGGAGTTTGAAGGGAGCATCTTCTCATTTCTGTGTGCATTTTCTGCTGCGATGTTGTAATCCAAAAGAAAAATAAACTCAAGCATTGGTAGAACGCAAAGTAGTTATGGACCCATAAAAAATGACTTCCACTGCTTATAGCAGAGGGTTATATCCTGTTTCTGTCTGTTGGTTTGTTATTTTTTGTGTAAATGTTGTTCTTTTACTTCTTTTAATAGAACTGTGTAAACTGTGCTCTGTCCTGTGAATTCCATGGTGACACTTTTGTTTTTTTCTGCTTACTTAGGACAAAGGGTGAAGTTTAGCTATTTTGCTAATTCCTGAATATTGAAACTGTCATGAATTGTGGTAATATAGATTAATGTGCACTGTCCTAATGAAGTAAAATAAAATTGAGTTAAATAAGTGCACATTATTAACCTGAACACATCATCCCCACTGTGAAACATTCTTCATGTTTTGTGATGTTATGGATAGTTCAACACATTAAATAGGAGAGGCAGATTGTTTTGGTTTTGGACCTAATCTTGTTTTGATGTTCTGGTACAGCTTGGCTCTAGCTGGGTCTGGGGTAGGAAGTGGGGGTAAGTTGTAGATGGGGGGCCACAGGGGTCGTGTAGTGTATGACTTCCTCTGAGGCTTAAAACTAGGAGTCACACAAACCTGTACTTCCTGTGTTCAGCCTTCTTCTGGACTTGTCCTGTGGAGGTCACCTCAGGTCATGACTCCTCCTTAGTGTTGTGTGCTGTCATTAATGTAGCGCTAGCTCATTAGCCCAACCCTGTAGGTCCGTTTTTTTATAGATATCCATGAGAGAACATTTGTGAATCATAAGTGTGTTTTGTTTTTGTAGATCATTAGGTTTTCCTAGAAAAGCTGCAGTTCCTCAAACTGTTGCTGATTCTGACGTGTGTGTTTGCCTCTGCAGTTCCCTCTGCTGCACCTGATGACGTAGCTGTGGAGGTGATGAACAGCTCAGCGGTCAGAGTGACCTGGACACCCGTCCACAAGGACAAGCTTCATGGACATCTGGGAGGCTACAGGGTAATGCCTCAGAAAACATGGCTTTGCTTTCAGACGCAGCTTAAGAGGAGCGGCCACGACTTTGCTGCTCCCAACATGTGTATAACGTAAAACCACCTGTCCTCTTCTTCAGATAAACTGGTGGCGCCTGCGCAGCCTGGTGGACTCGAAGAAAAGCCACGGAGACAAACAGTCTCTGGCGTTCCCCGGGGATCGGACCCACGCCACCGTGCCGGGCCTGACACCCTTCTCTGACTACAGCCTCATTGTCATGACCTTCAACGGGCGAGGCAACGGTCCGGGCAGCCATCCGTTCAACTTCAGAACCCCAGAGGGAGGTAAGGTTTTGGAAAAGCAGCGTGAGGCGCATTGATTCACAACCTCTGAAGAAAACATCCAATAATAACCAAGAAAGTAGGTTACTGCTGCCGACAGTGCTTATTGTGTGTGCTTTGTTCTCTGCCCACAGTCCCAGAGAAAAACCCAGTTTTGAGGGTCACAAATGTAAAGAGGAACTCTGTGTCTCTGGCCTGGGCCCCTCCTTTGGAGCCCAATGGGATTCTAACAGGATATCTACTGGAGTACCAGCTCAGTATGTATTGCTCAGGAAAATGACATGCTTTCTTCTTATGCTTCCACCACAAAGTTTATAGATATAAGTGTATAAATATTAAAGTATTTACAGTTTGGGAACAGTAACAATATTATAAGCCTAGTTTAAAAGACATGAGATGTTTATGCTTAGTTTATGCTTCCTTTGTTAGATGGGACTAAGTTTAGTCCGGTATGAGGT